TCCCTCACCTTTGCAGATGTGTCTCACCACATTCTGCTGTTCCTTCTCACTTCCTTAGTTGCTACCAACCTGGTCACCATCCTGTGCTCTGCTCCACTGCCCTGGCTGAGTGTGCTGTCTTGCTTTTAGAAACATGGCTCAGTGCTTCTTTAACCTTTCCAGAGCTTCCTTTGTCTTTTTTTCTTCCTTGCTCCTAGCCATCACCTCTCTGGACTCAGTGGCACATCACCTGCACTCAGGATACCTGTGCTTAGTGCTGTGGCTCTCTTCCCTGCTCCAGGTCGCATGGCTGTACTGTCACCACAGCAGATTCATTCTCTGTGGAGCTGCAGCAATATCCTTGTGCTTTTGTTCCTGTTCTGCAGGTTTGTCCCATTTTCTGGGCTATCTCCTCTTTCTCCTCACCATGTTTGTCACAGGTTCTTGCTGCTTTCTTCATACAAAATTCATTACACTCCCATTACGTTCCCTTCACTGCTGCAAGTCTGACTGACACATCCAGTCTGCTCTCCTCCTCCAGTCCCTTTTCCTAGCCACACACTCAGGTCTGTCTGCTTTCCCCACCCAGTGCTCCATTTGGATCGGTACTCTGGTAACTTCTCAAGCAAGTGTCTTGTCACCCCTTCTCAGACCACCCTGGCAGTAATTTTATGGCTTTACTTGCTAATTTGTTGGAAGAAATTTGGGACTATGTGTAGTCATCAGTATTCATCACTGTGTATGTGCACAGGTGAGGTCATCACATTACAGACACACTTTTCTCCTCTGGCTGTAGTTCCTGGATGCTCCTCAGTCAAGGCTGAGCAGCGACTCAAGGTTGCAGGACAGTCCTGCTCTGTTGTTGTGCTGTGCTGTACGTGCCAGCCCTGCTGCAGCTGAGCTGTTTGCCTTCACTGGCAGAGCCTGCTCTGTTGTTGTGCTGTGCTGTACATGCCAGCCCTGCTGCAGCTGAGCTGTTCACCTTCACTGGCAGAACAGAGCAAACACCTCCAGGCTTGGGGGCCGAACCATCTACCTTCACTGCTGCAAGTCTGACTGACACATCCAGTCTGCTCTCCTCCTCCAGTCCCTTTTCCTAGCCACACACTCAGGTCTGTCTGCTTTCCCCACCCAGTGCTCCATTTGGATCGGTACTCTGGTAACTTCTCAAGCAAGTGTCTTGTCACCCCTTCTCAGACCACCCTGGCAGTAATTTTATGGCTTTACTTGTTAATTTGTTGGAAGAAATTTGGGACTATGTGTAGTCATCAGTATTCATCACTGTGTATGTGCACAGGTGAGGTCATCACATTACAGACACACTTTTCTCCTCTGGCTGTAGCTCCTGGATGCTCCTCAGTCAAGGCTGAGCAGCGACTCAAGGTTGCAGGACAGTCCTGCTCTGTTGTTGTGCTGTGCTGTACGTGCCAGCCCTGCTGCAGCTGAGCTGTTTGCCTTCACTGGCAGAGCAGAGCAAACACCTCCAGGCTTGGGGGCCTTTCTGAACCATCTCCAGTGTGTCCTGGATGAACTGGACTGCCTCAGTGCCCTGCTGCATCAGTCTGCTCATGCGTGGTGAATTCAGTGCACTGGAGACACATCCAGCTGCAATTCCTGTACATTTCTGCCTCATGTATGGACATACATTGTCCAGGATCTAGAGCCAACCCATGGGTTATTTCTGATTTCCACTTCTGATCAGAACTGTCACCTTCCTTAGATCATTCACTTGGTCATTCTGCCAGCAGTGACCAAACCAGTGACCTCACTGTGATTTTGTTTTCCTCTGGCTTTCTGCCTGTTCATGCTCTTATAGCTGCCTCTGCCTTCTGCCCTGCAGGTGCACCTTTGTGAAGCTGATGGCCTGCTGGAATTCCTGGGAGTCTCTTCCTCAGAATTCACTCACCAGCCAGTCCTTGTAGCAGTGAAAATGCTGAGATCAGATGTCAACAAAACAGCCAGGTAAGTGGATCCACAGTGCTGACCAGCTGGGAAGGAAAGCAAATCCTCTCCAACAGCAGCTGCACACAGGTTAACCCTGGGGACTTTTGTGACACTGTCATGTCTCTGGTGTGTTCATGGAAGGAACAGGACACAGCAGGGAGAGGGGGTTAGGGATAACTGTGATGTTGAACTGAAGTGCTGTGTTAATCCTGTTTCCTCTGGAAAGGGTCAGTGTGGAACACTAGCACAGCACCAATGTTCACACTTGCTGTGTGCAGAAGCATAAATGACTCTGCACTGAGCTTTTCTCACATGCCACTTCTGCTTTGTGAGACAGAGGAATAGTTTAGGATTCAAACATGTTTTCTCTTTTCCCAGAAATGATTTCCTGAAGGAGATCAAGATCATGTCACGGCTGAAGAACCCAAATATCATCCGGCTCCTGGGGGTGTGTGTGCGTGATGACCCTCTGTGCATGATAACAGAGTACATGGAGAATGGAGACCTCAACCAGTTCCTGTCACAGAGGGAGATCTACAGCAAATTTGCCATTTCAAACAATATTCCCTGTGTCAGGTAAGAGGAACTGCCTGTCTTTGCTACCAGTCTCACTGTGCAGGCAGTGACCTTCCTCCAGCCTGGCTGTTGCCACAGTACATGGACAGTAGTCCTGCTCTCCATGGGAGATTGTTCTGGAGGTTCCCCTCAGGTGTTCCTGACTGCAGGATGGTCACGGTGACCATCTCAGATGTATTGTCTGTCTGTTTATGTTAGTGGGTTTGCATCAAGTATTTT